ACTTTATTGGGGCCTCTTACAGCTCTTATCACAATCCGTAATATATCCATTGTGTCAAACACATCTGTACATCTGTTGTTATCTTTTCCAAACGTTTTCTTTCTACTTGAGCCCCTGGCATCAGCTCCTCATTTTTCCCCCCTTCTCTCCCTCTCCCAGCCTCCCTCCCCTATGTCCCCTTGATAATTTATAAATTCTTCTTCTTTTTTTCCATGTCTTACACTGACCGCTGCCCTCATTTTACCCACTTTTCTGCTGTCCGTCCCCCAGGATGGGGGCCATACATCGATCATTGTGATTGGTTTCCCCCTTAACTGCGCCACCCCTAACCTTGCACTCTTAGCATTGCTGCCCTGAGGGGTTTATCTGCTCTGGATTCCCTGGGTTGTGAGCGTCTATCTGTACCCGTGTATGTGTTCTGGTCTAGCCAGATGTATAAGATAGAATTGGGGTCGTGGTAGCACGGGCGTGGGCAGGAAGCATTAAAAAACTAGAAGAAGATTGTGTCTTCTCTCTTAAGGGCACTCGTGGGAGAAAACGGAGTTAAGGAAGAGGTCGTGGGGCTAGGTATTAGAAGTAAAAGCAATGAGAGTCAGGTGTGATGTCAAAAAGCCGTTAGATGAGAAGATGAAATCTGAGTTGCAAATGTGGTGCCCCCACTTTCCAAGAAAACAGGTAATTAAGGAGAGTCAATGATGAGATCCCAAAGCAGATGAAGAAACCATCATACCGATGGAGGCCCTGGTTGGAAATCTTGTTATACGTGACACTTACATCCTATAGCATGCTTTGTTATTTTCAACCTTTGATTGGTCCAGTGATTCTTTGGAATCACTGGCATATTGGGATTAAAATAGAAAGAATCTACAATTGAATGAGTCCTGGTATGAGAACCAGCACTCTATTTAAATTCTGATTTTGCTGGGTGAGACTCTTGCCTGTCCTGTATCTTGATGCTTTGTGTGTGTGTGTGAGACATGAAGTGTTGTATGGGCTTACCAAAAGTTGGTTGTGGAAATCCAATGCCTAACAGAGAGGGTCTTTGAAAGGAACCAGAGGGTTAACAGATCCAAGAGCCCTGTAAAGTGCTATATGAGTGCTAGACATTATCATTGTAATTATAGTGACCTATTTTCCAAACCCAAATTGGACCACATGGTATGAGAAAGGATTTTTGTGCCACTTCCAAGGGCGAGAGGCTGTCTGCAAAATGTAATTCAGATGCCAAAATATTGAAATTTCTGGCACATTTTGTTGGGTATGGGAGCAATGATAAAATATTTGAAATAATGGCTGTTCAGTGAAATTCATGATGTGTGATTGTTATAATTATGACATGTCTTTCCAAAAGGTATTTCATTTCTCATATAAGTAGAAGTTCTTTGATTTCACAGAATCTTAGAGCTGGAAGGGACTTTAAGGGACTTTCTGCTTTAGTCCCATAAGTCTCTGAGGCAAATCTTGGCGCCCATTTCCTACAGATTTGTAGGGAAGCAAGTTTCACAACCTCCCTTAGAACGGGAGTTTGTCTTAATGTCCTTGAACAGAGCCATCTAAACAATCTCTGCGTTTAAATCTTGATTTTTCCACCTGTATGAGAAAAACGCAGATAAACTTACATAAGAAAGGAGGTCCTTTTTTAAAATAGAAAACATTCAAGAAGAATACAGAAGAAAAAAAAAGGTTGAAAAAAATAATGATTAGAATCTTCTACCAGAGGTCTCAAACATTAAACCCATTTTCTTAGAATATATTTCTTAACTAGTCATAACAAAAAATCTATTTCATGTGCTTTGGTTTACTACAAAAACGAGCTGGTATGAAATCTGACATCAAACCCAGACTTTACCTAGCCGATGGGAAAAAATTAGCTTCGATATTCCTGGGAGTTCTTTGGTTTATTAATACAATCATCTCTATCCACCTGTGCTGCAAATTGACTCCACTCCAACCCTATGTAGGGTTTTGGAGGCTGTTTTATGGGAACAAATAGCTTCCCCATCTTTCTCCCACGGGGCAGCTGGTGGGTTGGGACCGACATTGCGTGGTTAGCAGGCCAGTGCTTACTCCTCAGTGCCCCCAGGGCCCCTTCTCAATAGCTTATGTGACAGAAGCTCCTCTCTTTCCACCCCCTGCAGTCACACAGACACCTTGGCCTTGATTTTCTTTCTTTTATCTAGTTCAGCGGTTCTCAACCTGTGGGTCTCGATCTCTTTGGGGGTCATCTAAGACCATCAGAAAACACATATTTCTGATGGTCTTAGGACCCGAGACAGCGCTCCTCTATCCATCCCTAGGCTGGTCCACCCACATGCAGATACGCCCATATACGAGGACCCAGCTTGAAGACTGTTACCTATGCTACACCATGCTTCCAGACAAAATTTCATTTATTTGTAGTTAGAAAGAAATATTTCACAATATACAATTTCATATTGTTTATGTGATTAATCACTATACTTTAATTATCTTCTATTTGTAACAGTAAAAATACATCCTGCATATGATATTTACATGACAATTCATAGCAGTAGCAAAATGACAGCGATGAAGTAGCAATGAAACTAATTTTTGGTTGGGGTCACCACAGCATGAGGAACTGTGTTAAAGGGTCTTGGCACTGGGAAGGTTGAGACCCCTGATCTAGTGCCTTCTCTCAAGAACGCATTGAGATGTATGACTTAACATTTTGTCAACTTCTCTGGATCTGCAGTCATAGATCAAAACTCTAAAATGTTTATGTTTACTTTCGATGGTCAGGAAGGGAATGTTTTCAGAGTTTATGTTCACTGACACGTGTAGTAACTGGACAATCAGGGGAGAGATGGAGTTCATATCGGTCATTCCGTGCTGCGTCAGCACACACCAGGAATGAAAAATGGCAGCCTTAAGATAACCCAAAAAAAAGATAACCAAATCATAAGAATTTGGTATGAATGATAATCCTTTGAGGTTTCTGGTTTGTTTGGCTTTGTTATTTTTCATCCAAATGGCCCAGGCTTCTGGATGCCATCCCTGGGATCGCTTCTGAAAGGTTGAATGGATTTGCAGCTGTATTCAAACACACATATCTATGTTCTAGGCTGGGGGATGGCTGCATGAAGTATGCAGCTCCAGCCTTTGTGGAAATTCAGGGGTTAAACCGAGAGTGGCTACAAAAGTGGCCCGAGCCACTGTGCAGACGGTTTTCTGTCTTGTTGGCACAATTCTCTGACAGACTGGGGTCAATGGCACACAGACCCATACGATGACTTGAACTTGGCTCTTCACGCTGTTGGGCATTGGGTTTTCGGTGCACGGTGTAAGCCTCAGCCTTGCAGATTTCTGCTGCCAGCCTTCTGATGGAGAGCCTCCATCTGGGAGCTCAGGGAGCATCATCCTCGAGTTGGGCGCTCAGCTCAGTGAGATAAATGGGATGCTAGGGGAGACTACTGCCTCATTACAGGGATCTCGTTTGATGGAGTCGGGCAGTGTTTAGCCCCGTCCTCCTCAGTGGTATTCTGAAGTTGCCAAGCTTATTATTGGTATCGATCATATCATCTTGGTGCATTCATGAGAAGAATGTCTCCTTAACGTGGGCATGGCCAGCCGTCAGAGAGGATAAATGCCTCAGTCTGTCTGACTGTTGGCCTTGTGGATGGTGACGCCGGATCAATCTGGCTCAAGAGTTGTATTTTAATTACTGGTGCACTATGCCATCACAGATTGACCCAGTCAGGAGTTCTAAGCTTAAGTGCGTACTAAAGCAGGGGAGAAAAAAAATATCTAGCACCTTGTGGGTGGTTTGAAGTGCCAAGTTTGTTTTTGTGAAGTCAGTAGTGTAACAGCTTTTCTTTTCTGTGCAACCCCTGCTGAAATCTGAAGTGGAGAAATACAGGAAAACGCCGAAGGCACACACAGAGACTGGGCACTCTCTGGCTTGGTCTTTGGGCTTTGTTTCACGTGCATAAAGGATGCATCCCAGTGTAATTCGGGAACGGCAGCTTTTAAGGAGGGGACTAAATGATCCGGAGCCACAGGGAAGGTTAGAATCTGTAGTTCTTCTAGCTCTACCTAGGAGGCTCTGCTTGCCTCACCAGGTGGAGACTCCTCAAGGCACACAAGAGCATTGACATCACTTACGTGCTTCTTGTTTCCAGACCCAGCAGTGGATGCCTTCATCGCCATGCGTCAATATTACAAGCTTTACGTATGACCAATGACATCCATTCTTTTGAAGCCCTGATAATCAGAACAATGAGAGCAACCATCGCAATCCCTCTCCTGTGTGTTTGTAGTTCACAAATGTTTTCACATGCGGTCCCAGCCACCTGAAAGTTATGTGGGACCTTTATGGGACTTGTTAGAAATCACTCCAGTGGACCTTTGATTTCATGGTGAAAGACTGTCATGAATAAAGCTGGTAAAGGAAAAATACTCTTGCAAAAGGGGAAATTCAAAGGGGAGGCCCTTGTTGTCTGCACAGCTTGCTGTATGGTTGTAGGTGGCAATTGAGAAATTCTGTCTTTGTTGAGATGTTGCCATGTCTCAGATGACAATCATGATAAGGAGCAGCACTTGAATCAGAACGCAACTCTAATCTAAATTAACCGGAGACACAAAAAAGGTTGATGAATTGCTTTTCTTAAAAACAAAACAAACAAACAACCTTTTCTTCTCAGCTGTTTGTGGACTGTACTTTTCAATATTTTCACTTAAGTGCGGGCTATATACTTTGTAGAAAAGATGCTAAAATATGACTGTTCATAAGAAAAACTGACACATAGGCTTTTGTTATGATCTGTAAATTGCAAACTCCTGAAAGCCTGTTGTTATTCGAGGCATCACCCTGAGATTTAAATGCGTTCCAGTTTTTGAACGTGATTTGGAAAATGAATACGACTACAGGGGAGGTGGGGCAGGGCTGGCAGTGCCCAGGATAGGGCACAGAGAATCGGAGTTATGTGTTCATTTGAATAGTTATTGGTTACACAAATAAGTGGGCTACGCTTCTATTTCAGAACTTTGCAGAAAACACCATGAATGAACTCCTTGGCTGGTATGGCTATGATAAGGTTGAACTGAAAGATGGAGAAGATATTGAATTCAGGAGCTACCTTACAGATGGGGAGAGCCGGCAACACATTTCTGTTCTCAAAGGTAATGACACTTAATGTCCCTTTGTTCATTCAAAGGAGGATTAACTATCTCAACCTGCCAGAATTGAGTAGCTTTGGGACTCATTTTGTTGATTATGCCAATGGTTGATTTAAATGCACATCCCCAGTAGCGCTTTCCCGTAAGCAGAATTCCACAGAATGTCAGGACACAACATAAAACAAACACAGACGCAGCCTAGCCTCCTTCCAGCAGTGCTGGACAAGGGCTTTGAGACTCTGGGCACACACAGTTGTAGAAAGGGGCAATGTTGGGTAGGTTTTATTTGCCCGAGCCCTTTGGTACCTCATCAGTGGTTGGTTCTGGGGCTTTCTGTTAATTGAAATATGAGGTTTCGACGAGTATTTCCTAGAGCGGGCCATACCACCAACTCGAGTGGTGCTGGTGGTGGTGGTGATGATGGTGGTGGTGCTGGTGGTGGTGGTGCTGGTGGGAGTGTGTGTGTGTGCTGGACTGACCCGGGGGCTGCAAAAAGCAGACACCTACACTTTATCCTGGAGTATGGGCTACCACACAAACATTTCTAATTGCCAGTGGGGCATTAAGTAGGGTTTGGGTCTTTTTTTCTCAAAGAGGGGTGGTAGGCCAAATTAGTGTGGGAACCTGTGGTTTAGATCAGTGGTTCTCAACCTTTCTAATGCAGCGACCCTTTCATACAGTTCCTCATGTGTGGTGACCCCCCCACCCCCAACCATAAAATTACTTTTGTTGCTACTCCATCACTGTCATTTTGCTTCTGTTATGAATCGGGTGACCCTGTGAAAGGGTGGTTTGACCCCCAAAGGGGTCGCAACCCACAGGTTGACAGCCGCTGGTTTAGATGATCAGAGTGTCCCCTCCCCTCTTTCCCCATCCCCCGCCCCTGCCTGGAAATTCTGAAGAGAAGCCTATTTCCATTTTGTGTTTGAAGTTTTCCCTACCTCCACCCTCCCAGCCCCCCAATCAAATCCTTGAAATAGAGTAAGGAGGAAATGAGTAGTGGATGGTGAGATCCTAACTTAACTCCAGACACATTTTCTCAAAGCCCAGTTAAAGAGTGGGCATGACAAAGGTTTGACAGAGTTGACCTCACCCCGATCCTGCCAGGGTCTGAAGAGCAGGGCCCTGGCTCGTGGGGAACAAATGGTGGGCCTCGATACGGACGGACAGCGATCAGACGGCCCGTTCTTAAGGAAAAGCAGAAGAGTGCGTGAAGAAGCAACCCATTTGGGGAACTTCAAGGAGATGAAGTCAGGTCACCTAATTCACAATTGTCAGTAAAATGTAGGTAAAATGAATTGTGTGACATCACCGATAGCTTGATCACGAAGGGCCTTCCCCTCCAAATTCCTATTGGCGTCAACCACCCGTTTGGCTATTTTATTCTCAGTCTCCAAGACAGAGCCTTGTCATCTTATGAACTACACAACAGTGTAAATGAGCGCTCCCGCAGGCCCGTGGAATGGAATGAACGTGACAAATCTTGTGTTGAGCGTGCTATAAAATTGTGCACCTCATGTTCTAAAGTTGGTGTCATCAATTTCACTGTAAATGAAAAATGCAAGTCATGAGTTTATGTTCTATAAACTCGTATAATCCTTGGTGTAAGCAATCACCAAGGCCTCTGTGGACGAAGAAAGGAGAGGGGCCAGGATTTACTCCTGTAGGGCAAGGTGGTTTTCCGTGGCTGAGGTGTTATTTTGTCGCTAGTGTAGCCTCCTGTTACTGAGACCTTGTGAAACAACAGTTTGCTTTCCAATCTCTCTGCTTCCTTCCCACCCCGCACTTGATGACCCAGAGGTGACAATCACGGGAACCTTGCTATACTGCTGGAGGGCACGGTGCAGACTCCCCCCCAGCTCCGTGAAGAGCCAGCCCCCTGGTGCCTGCTAGCTATCACTTTGTTCAAGGAAAAGGTCACTTGCCTCCCAGTTTTCTCTGGGATTCCACAGGGCTAGAATTCACCACCAGGAGTACAACTGGGATGTTAGCTATCAGAGTGAAGCAAATTTCAAGGAGTCCATTAGAAGGGTATGGTAATAAGGCTCATCACTCTAAGTCAGTGGATGGTCCTCTGGAATTGTGGTAAAGTGTGTTTGAAGGCTTATAAGGACCCTATTTGTTTTGCTACGCAATCATTTTTTTGCTTTAGTTAAGTGGTTGTGAGAAAAATGGTAGGTCTGCTGAATAGATTCTTTTGTTGTATTGAACATGATTTCTTTTTCTTTTACAGAAAATTCCTTGCCCAAACCCAGACTACCGGAGGACAGTGTTATTTCACCGTACAATATAAGCACAGGCTATTCAGGGCTTGCCACAGGAAACGGACTTGGTGACTCACCTGCAGGGTCAAAGGATCATGGCAGTGTACCCATTATTGTACCTTTAATCCCACCACCTTTCATAAAGCCACCAGCAGGTAAGTCACCATTGGACTGGGCTTTCCAATGATAACAATTCACAGAAAGTTGTGGAGCTATCTTATCAGAATAATGGTTAATCACTCCCGTTAGTTACAGAAAGGGCTCTCGTAGGAACTCTGTAGATAAGAAATGTTAGTGTACATATTATTTAAAGTATTGTTGCTGTAGTAGGCACTCTCCTGACCCTAGTCCCGCAATCATGGCCATTACATCAACTTTCAACTGACCACGATCCCGACTTCGACTACTGGCTGAAAAACAAAGCAAAAAAATCCAAACCCAAACTAAAACCCGTTTCCCCCTTATGAAATTATCTTTTTAATATAAAAATGGATGAAATCATTTTAAAAAGTCATACAATGACTGGGTGGCAAGAAGAAAAAGTAACCATAGATGAACTAGGTGTTGGCGTAGTAAGAACCAGCTCTCCTCTGTTGGGTTTTCTGGGACAAGGGATGGTTAGAAGGCATGTGGCAAACTTGTTTTCCAATTTGCCTTCCCCTAAATCCTCTCTGGAAACATTGTAGGCTACCCATCTTCTTTGCAGAGTTCGTTCTAATTCTTGGAAAGCTCTCTTGGCGCTAGACTTGTTCCAAAGGGACATCTGAGTATCTTCTGCATGAAAATGCCATCAGTCCTTGTTCAGTCACAGAGAATTAGATGGCCGTGTAGATGGCAATGGCTCTAGATAGCAATGGCCTGAGCATTGGACCGCATGGTAAGCTAGGCTAGAGAGAGGTTTTCTGCAGAGAAAGAACCAAAATAACATTGTATCAAGTTTACTGTGAAATATTGGAGTTTTGCTACAATGCTTAATTGCTACACTGGCTACTTTTCTGGAATTGAACAGGGTAAACCCTGAGTTTCTATAATCGTATCAATGATCACAAGGATCACACTTGTATTTTAATTAAAGGTGATGTTTTCAGTAATCTTTTTAAATGGTGAACATATTTGTAGATATGAATTCCTGAGCTTATGTTGTAGATATATTTTTTACCATATTCTAGGTGTTACTAACCTGTTTCACTTGCACATAGGCCCATATCTTCTTGCCTGATCTGCATTTTGACAGACTTGTACTGTCATATCGAGGTCCTTAGATATATCGTTAAAATCATCTGCCTGTCAGTCTCTCGTGATTGTGCTTGCCTGTTAATGATAAGGTGATTGGTGCATCAGACTAAGTTGGCCTTTTTCATGCTCCATGTTCTTAGGACCCCGGTGGTGCAGTGGTTTATGCATTGGGCTTCTAGCAGCAAGGTTGAGGTTCAAAAGCACAGCCTCTCCATGGGAGAAAAATGAAGCTTCTGACGACTATAAAGAGTTAATAGCCTTGAAAACCCACACGGGCAGTTCTACTTTGCCCTGTAAGCCTCACCCTGAGTTGGAATCGACTCCAGGGCAGTGAATCTGGGGACTTTTGAGTATTTGCTGGATTGTTTTGCAGTACAGAAAGACCCAAGTCGATCTGCGGAGGGCTGAAGACATACGTGCATAGGTGGGTTGAGGACTGGAGGGATGCAGGGTTTTGTGTATGTATAGCTCGTTTTTGAATCTGAGTCCAGCAGCTCAGGTGAGCGGTGATGTTCACTAGGAGATTAAGACTCAGTGAGAAGAACTTGGGCTTGCGATTCAGTATAGGGTCCAACCCAGGTTTTGTCAATCACCAGCTCGGGGAATGTGGACACGTTCCCTACGTTCTCTTGCCTCGGTTTTCCTCCTCTGCAAAATGGAGCCACCGTGTCAGGTGAGGGCGGTCACGAGGCTGAGATGAGGTGCTGGTAAAGCCCTAGTATGGGACCTGCTCAGGAAAGGCCCTGTTTTCCATCCTTAGCCTGCCCCAGAGTTACCATGCACATAATTTGTGCATCGAAAGGTGTGCATCCAAATGCAAATTTGCCTCTAAGATTTATTTGAGCAAAGCAAACAGCTTTAGAAATTAGCATAGCTGAGGCTAACATGAGTTAGGCATGCCAACAAACCTGCCCTGGGGTTTCCTGCTGAGCCAGCCATGTGGAATTCAAGCACACAGCTCCTATTTAACTTTAATTCCACATCAGATCAGGAAATAAATATGCAAAGGGACAGAGGCCAAAAATGGAGCCTTGGAAGTCTTAGACAGAGGGACTCTGAGGAATTAGAGGCCAGAGTAACCAAACACCAGTGGTTTATGCTGCCTTCCATGGCTCCCCAAGGCGTTCTTCTGTTAAAAACAAAATGTAGGGAAGGACCTGTTTAAGTTTCTGTGACTGCTCTGAACCCCGACTCTGCCCTTCTCGAGGTTCCGTGGGACGAGACAAAGCTAGAGAGTGGTTCTCTCCATTCAGCCTGATGGCACAGCGGTTAAGAGTTTGACTGTGAATCACAAGAAAGCCGGGCTTTCTACTCCCCTGAAGAGTTACAGTTTTGGAAACTCACAAGGGCAGCTCTACCCTGTCCTATAGGTTTGCTAGTCACTTGATGACAGTCAGGGCTCCTTTTTGAGAAACTATTAGTCTGTAGGCAAAAACTTTCAGGAGAGTTAAGTTTTGATTTAGGCGTACTCTTTAAGGCGGATGCTGGCAAACATTCTGTACCGGGCCAGATAGTAGATGTTTTAGGCATTGTGGGCCACGTGTGAGAAAATGGGTGTGGCCAATGAAACTTTAGCTATAGAAAAGCAGCAGACAGGGTTTGGCTCAGGCTCATAGTTTGGTGACCTTGGTTTTAGAGTAAGAGGAACCAAGGTCTCACGACAACACCCACTGTCGGTTAGTCCATTCGGACTCACAGCGCCCCGTAGAGGGTGTTGGATTCTGTCAAACCTTATGGGCAGGGGGCCTCCTCTTTCTCTGAGGTGGGCTTGAATCATTGTCCTTGTGGTTAGGAGCTTCGTGTGCATCCCACAGCACACCAGGCAATGTGACTGTCACTTCTACGAGTCAGGTTGTGGGCTCTGCCAGGGTGCTCTGTATCCCAAAGAAGGACAGCAGCAAGGGCAGGGACAGAGCAGGCTTTCAGGATAGGCGGGGACCTCTGCCACATAGGAGGTGCTCCACTTATTTGTTCAAGAAATAAGTCCTCTCCAAATTCCCGTTGCCCATGTGGAAGACCTGCGTACACGCCTTTCTTGTTCACTGAGAAAATGCTCGCATCTTGTCTGGGTTGGTCCCACTCTTGACCCCTGACCCTGAAGTGAGGGCGCCATTGCTTTTAGTTACTTACATACAGGAGGGCTTCACGTATCACACCAAGTCCACAACTGAGCCCAAAGCTTCTGTCTAGTTCATTTATTCTACCTTATTTCATTTCTTCCTTTTGCCGAAACTTTTACCAGAGTTGTTCTGTAAGGTAACGGAGCTGGTGTAGACCTGCTTCCGGTCTTCTAGCTGTTGTGGGTTGACTTTGTGTTCCCTAGGGGAACTAGTGAAGGGTACACCGGTCAGAAGCCAAAGACCCCTCACTAACCTGCCTGTGAGGCATGTAGGGTGGACTGCTTCATGTGAGTGGCTGCCTCTTGGAATCAGGAAGACGAGGGTCATGGGTGAGCTTTGGATTCATGGAAAGAAACTGTATTGGTGTTCATATTATTTCTATTGTACTGTAAACTGTCTATGTGAAAATGCTACCACTAGAAGCTTACATTTGTGTTAAGTCCTTTACAGTTTATAAAGTTTTTCTGCATTCATTTGATTTCCTGTGATCTTTTTGACAATCCTGGGAAATAGCATGTTAGCTGGCACCTAAAGAATTGCAGCGCCCATGGATCCAGTGGATTTTTCCAAGTCACACGAATTCTATGTCCTCAAGTCAGAACTAGTCCTAACATCTGTTGACCCCTAATCTAATATTCCTTTGTTATGAAATAGAACTCATTAATATGTATTTTGCTTGTGTTGTGAATCTGCACAGCAAAACACGTAGCAATCCAATATAATTTCCACGTGTACAGTCCTGTGACCTGGAGGGCATTTTTCAAATGGAACCACCATCCTCACCCTCCTCTTCTGAAGTGTTTCTTCCCCATTGGCATGCGCTCACTGCCCTCCAGGGTTCCTATCCAATCTTTCACATTGTAATCAGTTTGATCCCCTGTGGAAAGATCTTAAAAGATCACTCCAGACATTTCTTACTAGTTAAGCTAAATGATTATGTGGTTTTAAGACTTCCAAAAAAAAAAAAAAAAAGACTTCCAGAGATGTTGTTGTTGTTTTAACACTGATAACTCCATGGTTGTTTCGTTTCTTTCTTTTAGTTTTAAAATTATGAGCTAGGTGAAGGTTAGAGAACAGCAGTTCACACACATGTGGTGTCCACTCATCCACTGCAGTCCCTACAATGTCCCTTCCCTGTTGCATGTCCTCTCTGCTTCCGTTTCCCATTTCCCCTTTCTCCCTCGCGGTCTGAACCGTGCCCTGGGGCAAACGCGGCCCTTTTCTTCTTCTTCAAAGGTTGGGTATTCTGGGTCAGGGATGAGTTCAGTCCCAGACCTAAAGGGTGAGGGCCATGGCCTTGAGAGCCCCACTAGTCTCCATTCAACCGGTCTCCACTGCCATGGACTCGATCCTGAATGACGGTGACCCTTCAATAGCGGACGGGGCAGAGCTGCCCTTGTGGGTTTCCGAGGCTCAGTCTTGATGAGAGCAGAAAGCCCATCTTTCTCCTGAGGGTAGTTGGTGGCTTCAAACCGCTGACATTGTGGTTAGCAGGCCAGTGTGCCAGGCGCTACGCCACCAGGGCTTCATTTAGCCAACACGACTAGTCTTTTTTATGCTTTTTAGTTTTGTTCCAGATTTTTCTTCTACCGTATCCAGGACCTTCTAGTGTGATCGTTCAGGGTGGTTGGTAGTGGTAGCTGGGCCCAGGATTGTGGAGGCTGATGTGTGTAGGGTCCATTGGTCCACGCTCCTCACTCTTCTTTCTTTTAGGTAGAGAGAAACCCATGACTGCCTAACCTGAGCTGTCTGCCTTGAAGAGAGCCCTTGCTGTGCTTCCCAAATAGGGTATAGAACAT